TACATGCCGACGACGACGCCATTGAAGGTCACGAGCATGAAGTGCATGTACCGTAGTTGACTCGGTTGAGGCTGCGCGCGAGCAGCTTCTTGGCCATCGTGATGCCACACGCCATCGTGATGCCACACGCGCTCTTCTGCGTCATGGACGCGCTCGTGTCCACGTCACCAGCATGCCGGCCAACGGGAAATGGCGGTGCCCCCCAATGCCCCATCTTCTAAATGCCAAAGCTCGACCACACTCTGCCCCAATAAAGCACGAGGTGTGGGGCAGGGTCCGTTGAACGTTGAACGCAAACGCACATGATTCTATACACCGACAATTTGATGGCGTCCACACAGTCCGAGCTACGACACGAACCTACCGCTAGATGGCACGCTACCCCAATGCAAAACCTCGACCAAAAAGCTCCTGCCCCAAGAAAACACGAGGTTCACCCTAGTTCTTCAATTGTTTGGACACGGCACGAGGGAAAAAAAACGGAAGGAAGCAGGGACGACGCTCTAACGCGCCTCCCCAACCCGCGTAAAGTGTGTATGGAGCACGTCACCCAAAGACCGACAAAATTTACCGTTGACTCGGAAGCTATCAAAATTCACAGACGCGATTCTTAGAAGCTAAAAAGCACTAACGTTAGAATCGATAGATCTAGACAAGAGAAAGCGAGCCTAGTGCTCAGAATAAAAATGAATGTGTTTTGCCTAGTCGCGCTGCGTGTTGCGCCGGTTGACGTTGGACGTCTTCCACTGCCCAAACATCGAGATGACCTTCTTCTGGGGCGCGGGCTCGGTGGCCTTTGCCGGTGGCTTGTCCTCGTCGTTCCAAGCACGGCGCTTGCGCTTTCCGCCCTTCTTTTCGCCTTCGACAAAGGTATTCCGGTTGCAAAAAAAGGGACTGGGTTCTGTCAAGACAGTCCATTGGCTGCGTTGACAAATTTTGACCCGGTTTGGCCGTTGCCAACGAGGCGTACACGTCTACTCACTCTCATTTTTGCGCAGCCAAAGTGACATCGACCAACCACCGAATGCCATTGCTTCCGTCCCTGGTCAGTCCATCCACATCGATGCTTGGTCGCAGACGTACGTACATCAACGTCGAGGAGATGTGCACTGTTTTCGCGCACGAGCTTGTTGCATCTTCTTCGATCGCATCGAAGA